GGGGGGGGGGGGGGGGGGGGGAGGGGTTCCAGCTCCTCATTGCGTCACATGACATGGCGTTTGGTTATAATTAGACTATCGATTGAATTTAACTCTAAAAGATATGAGTCGTAGTTGTTCATTTGTTATTTTGTTAACGAATAACACACAATGGTATGGTTAGTTCAGAGGTTGCTGTCACTTGCTACTAGTTGCTTCATTTTTTCCACTGCTTATCCCTAGTAACGGATATCTCGCCAATAATATGATTGTTAAGCTAAAGTTGGATATAACCGCCTGTAGAAAAAAAAAAATCTAAACACTTGATGAGTTTGCATTCTTGACTGAGGTCACTCGTTCTAGATTCACATCGCGCATGAAATATTGACCATAACATGTTTGTAACAAACGGTTCGTTTCAAATAATAATTTAAAAAAAACAAAAAAAAAAAAACAAAACAAAAAAATAAAAAACAAATTGACGTATTAATCCATGTATACAGCAACGGGGGGGGGGGGCAGGGGGCGTAACAGGGGGGGGGGGGGGGGGTAAGTGTTGTGCATGATATTTAATAGCCTTTTGTAGGTCATTTTGTTACAAACTGTTGTCAATATTTTGCAGACCCGTGTATAGCTTTTTAAAAAATTTCCATTCTCACAGAAGCATGTCGTCAAATTGCAGACGGTAAAGTTCAAAGATACACTGAACAATCAAAATATCCCTGGGTGGGTTACCTTCTGCTTGTAGTTCTCAGGCGTCCAAACATTGTTTCCCCGAGGGAGAGAGCTCTCTCCATGGGCGCCACGTGTGCCGGGAAGGCTGAATGAAACCTGAAGGAGTACATGCAGAGTTACAGAAGGGACACCATTTGCACCTAAAAGTTGAAATATTTGTACCTTTTTTTTGATCTACAGAAACGTTTTTCGAGTTCCATTCTTCCGGCTCAGTGGGTGACACAAATTATTTCACATAAATTAGCTCATCAAAGAAATCGCCATCAACACTTTCTTTCCCTGGGAAGATTTCATTTAAAGTAACGCTTAGGTTGACGAGACCTGTTCCGCACAGTGGCGCTAAAGCTGTTCATTTCTTTGGCCCTTGCGGAGAAATCAGATAAGACGAATGGAAATAGGGCAAGCAAGCTGTCGCCGCCAAAAATACGGAAAAGCCAGAATGGAAAAGACCAGTGGAAAGTACGGACAAAT